TCATAACACTATTCAAGCCGAAACTTTCCCCAGTCGATACAAAGAAGTCGCCGACAGTTGAATTTTTAGCGGCGTCAATCGATTCTCAGTGTCTGTTGCGCGGGATGCCATGAATCGGCGGACTGCGAAGTTTTAATTTTGAAAAAGAGCAAAGAGCCTCTGAAAAATCAAGGCAGATGTGTAGGGTTTTTTTTTTTTTTTTTTTTTTTTTTTTGTGTGTGTGTGTGTGTGTGTTTGGATAGAAAATGCAGTTTTATAATAATAAACATTCGAAAGCCATTTATTATTCATTTCATAAGAAAAAAAGATGGGGATAAAATTGAAAGAAAATGTCGGATTTGAATGTTATTTCCTGCAATTTCGTCATATAATCCCAATGAAAATAAATACAATAAAATTTTACTACAAATTGCTTTTGCTTCGATTCTAAACAATGGAAAATGTGAGAATTATTTTGATAATGTCTCAATGAGAACTTTCGTAACTAAAGGTGTACCTAGTGAAATTAATCTTCTGATTATTAGAAAAAATCACTTTCTATTTATTCACTTCGTGGTAAAGCTGAGCTAGAAATGGCATTTAATGCTGTTAAAACAAAACAAGAAAATATCAGAGATCCCAAACTTAGCATATAATGATGAACTACTAGAAACATCAAGTATCTCAATACTGCCATCTTCCCTTTAGATTTAAATTTTGTTAAAGAAAACAAAGTTAAAAAAAAATTTAAATTAGCTGACTGTTGTAAACAAAACGCCAAATTTAACATCCTCATAGATGTAGATTTTTACTAGTCGATAACTAGAGATAAACATTAAAAGAATTTAAAAATTGTAGTATTTACAGAATCATCATTTGGGTGGTGTTTGCAGAATAAAGTAAATAATTTTAGCGAACTATTAAGTAATGGAAAATGAAAACTTGATATACGATCAATTACAAAAGTTTTTCAAGTTAGAAAACTTAGATTTAAAAAAGTGACAGTCAAAATGGAAAAGAGTTTTGATTTAGAAGTTATGAAATTTTTAGAATCAGCTATTAAGTATTAAAACGGTAGATAATGATTTAAGAAATTAAACAGCAAATTTAAAATTGACAATCCTTTATTTGTTCAATAAAAAGAGGCTTTAAGAGATAACGGTTAAAACATATTATTGAACTACTTTAGAAAGATTATTCTTTCTAAAGTAGTTCAATAATATGTTAAGTCCTATGAGGTAAAGAGGGGTCTTATCAATCTAAATGATAAGACCCTCATTTACCTCATACGTCAGTCATCAGAAATGAGAGCAACAAGTACATTGAGAAAAGTTTATGATGCTTCAGGTCATAAACCAGATAGACGTTTTTTAAAAGATTGTTTATATGCTGCTTAGAACTCATATCCTGATACTTTTAATTTACTGATAAAATTTAACCAAAATTTGATAACCTTTTCGACTATCTACACAAACGTTTTTGGAGATAAAGTTAAATTAAAAAGATACGAGACATTACACATTCTTTTGGGAAGATGGTCCTTATGTCAGTAATGAAAATTGAAAACTTTTAGACTTACAAAAGTTTTCTTCGAAGTAAAATCTAGTCCCTCTCTGCTTGCTGTTACCATTAAACACCACCTTAGAAATATATCCTGAAACAGCAGAACTCTTAAACAGCTGCTTGTAAGATAACAAAATTTAAAAGAAGCATTGAAAATAAGTTTAGAAAGAATGAACATTTTCGACGAAGCTAACAGATATTTACATAGGTAGCATACTAATTCAAAAGAACTGAAAGACATTAGGCATTAGCAAAACTTTTAGATACAAGAATCTTCTGAAATTGTTCCGATCAAAGTGTTAGGAATTTCCTGGAATATGCATAACATTCATTTTTATTTTGGCACTCAGTATTTAACAAATTTCTTCTGTTTGCCAAGTAATTCAAAACGTTTTCTATTGCAAACCGCTGGCTGTAATTTCGATCCTGTCGGATTCGAAGTTCCTTTGAATGTAATAAAATACTTGATTTAAGACATCTAGTTTGCTAAAATCGATTCTGACGATGAATTACATCTGATCTTAATTGTAAATGGAAAGCTTGGTATGAAGAAATTGGAAAGCTGAGCCACCTCAGGATTCCCCGGTACTATTTAGTGGGAGTATTAGATGAAGATTTAAAACAAATATAACTCCATAGCTTTTCTGTTTGAAAGCTTATGGATGTGTAGAATATCTGAGAATAATTACGAACAATGTAACTTTTCAAACAGTTTTTATTACCTAGAAGATTGCAGTTGCTCCTAATGTAGACACTATTGAAGTAGAAAATTTGAAATGCAGAAAGAATTTTGCTAGTGCCCCACATATAAATGTATCGTACAAAAGAAGGACTAATTATGTGAAATTTCCAATTACAGCAATCTTATGAAAATATAAAAAATAACAGCTTGAATTAAACGTTTTACTTTGAAAACTAGTAAACTTACAAACTTATCAAATATTCCCTCTTCAGCAGAATTTAAAGATGAAGAAGAATCTTGGATTTGAAGAATTGTATCTTCTTGCTTCGAAATTCAAAATTTGCAGAACTGATTATTAAAATAGAACATTATAATTTTATGTAATGTAAAGTTACAGTCACTTTGACCAGACTTGGAAACTAATACTGGATACGAAAAGGCCGACAGCTTGTTAAGAAAATTCTTATAAACAATCTTATTTATAAAAAATATACAGTAGTAAAATCTGCACAACAGATGTTCGCTCAGCAACCAAAAGACAGAATAATTGAAACTTGGCTATTTATTGTCTCTGTAATCGACTTTACTGGTCCGATTTTGGTTAGATTTGCAACCCGAATTAATAAATCGTATACAGCTTTTTTCATCTGCGCTGTAACTACAGCCTTCATTTAAAGCTGGTCTTCAATTTGTCAACAGAATTTTTTTAATGGCCTTTAAACGATTCGTTTCAAGACGTAGACATTTTCACACAATTTATGCCATAACACTTTCAAAAGATAAATAGACATTTTTTTCAAAAATATTGAAGGATCCCAAATTCCAAGAATTTATTGCCTGTAAAAATATAAGCTGGAAATTTATTCTCAGAAAGTGCCGCGTGGTAGGAAGGTTTTTTACGAATGTTTAGTGAAGTTAGTGAAAGATTGTTTGCAAAAAATACCTACTAAATTTTGAAGAGTTTATAAGGTATTTCGTCCGCCTTCCCAGCTGCCTTCTTGGTGTAGTGGCTCTGCAAACTGGTCCGGTATTGCAGAGGTCCGTGGTTCGATTCCCGGCGAAGGCGATTGCTCATTTTTCATCTTGCCTGTTTCCAGTTAACTTATGTCTCTGCAAGTTGACTACTATTTTGACAGAGGTTGAATATGTAATAAATCAAAGACCCTTCGCTTACAACGACTTGAGAGAATCAGAGCTTCTCACACCAATATAATTTTTTAACTTTGAACAAAAAAAAAAAAATCATAATTATCCATTTAATTTTATCGAGCTGATTCACAAGAATTCGAGAATCAAGTGCACCAAACCAGACTTCTGGAACGTCTCTGGATTGACTTACGAACAGCCCACCATTCCCAGTCTTAGTAAAGAATTAAAAGTTGGACATGTCATTCTTTTAGAGGGATATAGAAAATCCAAAATATTATGGAAGCTTGGTGTGATAGTAGAGTTATATAGAGGACGAGGTCAATATGCTCCTTCGCGTTTTATTAAAACGTCCAAAGGATAGTTGAAAAGACCCGCGCAACTCTTATATCCATTCCAAATTATAAACAATCTTAAACAGTTGACTTGTTCCAGCATTTAATCAGAATAATTTTTGAACTTATTGATTATTCAGTAATTTATTTGTTTAGTTGATTAATTTGCTTTATTTTATATTTTTAGAATTTTTTAAAAAATTTGTAACAGTAATCATAAGTATTTTCATATATTTAGATTTAATTAATCTTTTTCTTTACAGTGTGAACTCTACAAGTTTAAGTGGGGAGTGTAAAGAACTATAATTTCATAAATCAATCATAGCGTGAAAGAAAAGAAACGTCAGATGGATGCTAAACGCTAGACGGGAATGGCGTACTAATTAGTTTTGAATTAAATATTGATGTAGGAACGACGCTTACATGTAGAATTTGGAAAAGTTGGTTCGCTTTTGAACTGCCTTTTGTTTTAGTCTGGAAATCGGTCCAGCCTTAAATCTAAGAACTGAACCACGTCATTCCCTCTCAAATGAGCTTGTGCTTCTATAAGAATCATTTCTTCCTTAAAATGCACCTAAAAGTCTTTGCGAGAAATACTAAAAGCAAATGATGTGTTGGTCATCTTCATTCATATGCATAATCGAGCGAAAACTTGGGAGTGGTCTGAACTAAGAGGGTGGCTTTCGTGGGGGACTTTTCTAAGTGAAACCAGCTCATATCCATGTAGCACATGGAGGAAACCGCGAATAGCTCTGAATGCAGCCTGCCAGTTACCTGGGAAACAAAGAATTAGATGTCAGCGAGTTAAATTATAACAAATGCTACATGGATACTAATTAGTGTTCAGACCCATATAGCACATGACGTAGCAAAAACGTTACCCCGACCACTTTGCAACCTCTCGTACCAGTTTGCAACGTCTTTGCTACGTCATGTGCTACTTGGAGATGTTCTTTTATAGCTTATAAATATGTTTTACAATATTTCCGTTATGTGCATTCATAATTAAAATATTATTCATTAATAAATGGCATTTAATTCCATTTCGGTTAAGCTTCCGAAAAGGACATCATCGGTATTTAAGTAAATCATAATACGAAAATTTAATCTTTTCCAAAAATGATTTACCCATTTTTGTATTTCTCCTCCTCTCGCAATTTTATAGAGCAAGATTCTAATTAATTTTTACTCTGACAGGAAATGGTATTTTCTTCAATAGTATTGATATGTAATAGTATTTTCTCATTACAAGTACTAAAACTAAAGAAATAGATAATAAGAAAAAAATTCACTACCTGAAATATCCTTGTGGATTTGGTCTCGTAGATACTAATGGGTTACTAGTGTCATCAACTGGGTCGCGATCATACAATCCTATCCAGACATCACCATTCTCTGAAAGATTATGTGGTATGTGGTCCCAATTGAGTTCAAGTGTACGTGGTTCTTCATTGCGAGTGCGTGAAGCTAAAGAAGATACGGTAAGGAAAACCAAAGGCTTGACTCCGTTTGCGTCCGTTTCGTGGCTTTCAGTGTCTGTAAAAATATTGAAATTATCATTTATGAGTATGTAAAATAAGAACAATACATTCCATGAAATATTATCATGGACATACTTAGAAACAAAATCCTATAATACATTTTCCCAGATCACATCAAGAACTGCCATAAATCTACTTTTCTAGCATAAAAACGCAGCAAATCTATGTCAAATGAAGCCGAAAAATAATCCACTTTATTGGTCCTCATAGGTTAGGTTATCTGAATATAGCAAAGCCAATTAGAGCTTTCTGCTTGAGAGGGAGGATAGCTCTTACTTGCTTGGTCATAATCTGCTTTTCTAACGAAAGAGATGCCTTTGGTCGAATACTAATGAAGGGAATCGGGTTAGCATTCACGAAAATCATAAATTGAAATGATGGTAACATTATTAATGCTGCAGATTAACTTCTTAACACTCTAATTTAGTAAATGGCTAAGAACTTAAGGGGCGACTTATAGCCTCTCATTTCAGCTAACTATTAAGATTATTGCTCCCAAAACAATACATTTTCCCAGATCACATCAAGAACTGCCATAAATCTACTTTTCTAGCATAAAAACGCAGCAAATCTATGTCAAATGAAGCCGAAAAATAATCCACTTTATTGGTCCTCATAGGTTAGGTTATCTGAATATAGCAAAGCCAATTAGAGCTTTCTGCTTGAGAGGGAGGATTCTTTCGTGGAGGACTTACTACAGAAAAGCGCCTCATGTTCATCTTATACATAGGATAAACGGTGAAAATTCACCATGCAGCTTCCCGTTCAGCTGGGATTGAACCTGGTTCAAACTCCCAGTATTCCACCGATGAACACTGGTTCAAACTCCCAGTATTCATCGGTGGTAACTGCTTAGCCACTGGTGGCTCTCATTGGTCATCAATCAATGTAATAGCAAATTATTACGGTTTGAGAAAGGAAATATGAAACTACGATTCCTTTTTTAAAATAATATATAACAGCATATTTATTTTATTTATTTACATTTAACAGCATATTTATAACACAAGACTCTCAACAATCACTTAATAGACACTTTGGAAGTTGGTTGGCTAATAAAATAAGAACAAACGCAGAAGGTTTTTTGGTTTCGTTTATTTGATTACGGCAAAGCACACGAGGGCTATCTGCCTAAGGGAAGAGATGCCTTTGTGGAGGACTTTCTAAGGGAAGAAATGGTTCCAAAACACAAGGACTAGCTATTTAAAGAAGAAGTGGCTATTATAAAGGTTTTACTAAAGGAAGCTGGGTCACATTTACGTTACATATGAGGAAACCCACGAAACTAAACGCAGGTAGCCGTTCGCCGAGATTTGAACCTCCTTTGAGATACATCTGTTCAGCATTCTGATCCACTCGGCCATTGGTGAGCCAAATGCATTGGAAAACTATATTTTATCCTAGCATATCTGGCATTTCTCGGGCAAACTAAGTTCGCTACAATTTTCAGTTAATATCGATCACGCGGTTTAAGTATCAACTAAAGCTTGCTGATTTTGCGCATTTCACTACAATTTTTATATCATCCACTATATTACAAATGTGTACTTCCTAAGTCCGGTTATGAATATAATGTTGCGTGCGTAAGGGTTCGTAATCGATTGTATGCACAAGTTTGATTAAAAGTCAATAAAATTAATTTTTATCACAAGAAATAAAACAAAAAGCTGAAATTTTTCCTCACAGATATTCGTACAATATCACACAGTAGTTATATTTTAAACTACTAAAACGTTAAACAGAACACAATTCAAAGCGCAGAGAAAGCTAATCCAATCAAAATTACAGCAACTAAGTAAACAACAACAGCTCAATAAAACAACTGAACTGAAACGTTTTTCTCCGGCTTTTATAAGCTTTTTAATTAGTCGCGAGAAGGCTCTCGTAATTTCTGTTTTCTTGAGTTTTCTGGAAAGCAAAAGACTACAATTACGATATACTATTTATTAAAATGTTAAATACGCGAGTTCCTGTATTTTTACTTAAAATAAGTATCGTGCTGTACTACACGGGGATATAAAACAATTTTAATTATAATCCTACTAAAAATAGCCAACTAAATACAAAATCCGTAACACTATGTATGGCAGAATTCAGGAATTGTTTAAAATAGATGCTGAAGCATAATCGAATAGAGGCGCAATTAAAAAACTTAAAGTTGTGGTATATTTACATATTCCTTTTTATTTTAACTGACCAAACCTTTCAATAAGCCAACATTAATAAATTGGCCTTCATAAGCGGGCCTATCTCTTAAAAATTAAATGTTAAAGATATAATTTTGAAGAGAGCAAGCAAGATGCAGCAGGCTATTTAGCGACAGAATCAGAGCGATATGTGACGTTGTAGCGTCGTTAGGTTATTTTAAGCAGGTGATAAGGGAAAATGTGCAATGCCCTCACCGGGACTCGAATCTGAACCCCTCGAATACGCGCTGAGTGTGCTACCTTTACATCAAGCCAAGCTGGAAGGGGGAGAAAATACCTTATAACGTAATCCGAGATAGAGAACTATTTGAGAAGTTCGGCAGAAAAGGAGGTAAAATTGAAACATTCAAATTAAATTAAAGTTATTAAACTTAAAATGTTTATGACCAAATTAGATTTATTAAATTTAAAATGTTAAGTTTACTTCAAATTAAAGATAGAATTTTAATTTACATATTTTTCGTGTTTCATGTGAAGAGGTGATAAATGAACACTAAAGATTCAATAAAAGAATCAGTACTCTCAAATACAGGGTGATCAAAAAGTCAGTATAAATTTGAAAACTTAATAAATCACGGAATATTGTAGATAGAGAGGTAAAATTGACACACATACTTAGAATAACATGGGGTTTTATTAGAAAAGCAATAATTTGATCAGAAAAGCAATAATTAGCATAACAAATTAAGACAAAGCAAAGATGATGTTCTTTACAGGAAATTCTCAATATGTTCACCATCATTCCTCAACAATAGCTGTAGTCGAGGAATAATGTTGTGAACAGCACTGTAGAGCATGTCCGGAGTTATGGTGAGGCATTGGCGTCGGATGTTGTCTTTCAGAATCGGTCGATCACGATACACTTGCGACTTCAGGTAACCCCAAAGCCAATAATCGCACGGACTGAGGTCTGGAGACCTGGGAGGCCAAGCATGGCGAAAGTGGCGGCTGAGCACACGATCATCACCAAACGACGCGCGCAAGAGATCTTTCACGCGTCTAGCAATATGGGGTGGAACGCCATCCTGCATAAAATCATACATTTTTTAAACTTTTTTTTTTTTTTTTTGGTTCTAATAAAACCCCATGTCATTCTAAGTATGTGTGTCAATTTTTACCTCTCTATCTACATTATTCCGTGATTTATTAAGTTTTCAAATTTATACTGACTTTTTGATCACCCTGTACTTTAAAACTTAGCTAATTACAAATCCAATATTAAATATCTGCGAGACTTAATCTGAAAATTTCTGTGTCTTTTAATATGAATTATTTCTTTAGAAAAATTGCCTCAAACTGATTTGTATAATATTCGGCATAAAATTAAACTGTCAAAAGTTAAACTTCATTTTTGGGGTTGATTTCAAAGAAAAGAGCATCCCTTCTCTTGAAATCACCATCAAACAAAGGTTTAATTTTCCAAGTTAAAGGGAATTCAAACCAAGCTGGTAGGCATCTCTTGCCTGCATTAATTTTTACACTGAATATGTTATAAATACAGCAATTCGGTTAAATTAAGCGTATACCTCTTTTAAAAATTCTTCCGAAAGTAGCACCGTTGCTGAAGAATGAAAGCTGCAGGAAAAGAAAAGCGGGCAATAAGAAAGTCTTATTCCCAGCTGCCATACTTTTCATCCAGCTGGTCCTGTAAAAAATAAATAAAAAAGTCTGAAAGCTTCCATATTTCACATTACGCCCAAACAGGCTTTTTTTAACGTTTTGTGTGTTACTTTATTTATGAAGTATCATGTTCTTCGCACTTAAATCATAAAATTCAGTTCAACAGCAATATCGTAAAATAATTTTAAAATCAGCATATCTTTAGAATTTCCGATACATGGTCTCGCGCGCTGGAGATAAGTTTCCCCCCCCCGTACAGCAACTGATCGCTTTGAAATCGCTGAGTTTGTTAAAAAATAAAAAACTTATAAACTCCATAAAACTTAATAGTCTCTATATACGATAAAAATTTGACCATTACCGAAAACTTTAAACAAACTCGCATGCAATCAGTAGATAAAGTCGTTAGTTTTAGAATCAGTAAAGATATCGCCAGAAAATTCTCCTTGAAACAGACAATAGGTCTGCTTTCTCTTTGAAAATACGCCTTATATGTCAAGAACCTGCACTACTCAAAAACGTACACTGAAATATAGTAAATGTTGTACGACAAAAATTGTATTAAGATCACACATTAAATGCACAGACTTATGAGCAAGGATTAACTATGTAAAGATAATAGGGAAGTCCAATATTCCGTTTTCTTTATTCTATAGGGCAATGGCGATGAGTGATTTCCAAAAATGTTCTCATTTTGATTTTCATGCGCTTGGTAAAATCACCATATGGAAGATTTGCAAAACTTTGGAAAATGGCTGATTTCAGAGTCATTTTATTAAATGTCTTCAGACTGAGTACCTAGCCCAAGAAACTTCTCATTATTAACACGTTTTGAATGCTTATGTGCGTAAAATTTCTGACCTGAAAATATAGTAAAACTTTTGTATTTACGTCTTAAATTAGGTAAAAATTTTCTCTAATATTTTATAATGTAATAATAATGTGCATAAATGTATAACAATATGAAACAAAACACGCTAATATTTCCACGTCCACAATAATGGGTACATTCTTAGATCATAGCGATTACTGTTATGCCAGCACTTTTTTTAAAATCCTACGGAAGAACAATTCCTTCTTTTAACTTTTGATTATTACATTCATCTACTCAGTTTTTCAGGAGTCAAGCAAGTATAATTATAATACTTATTTGTCGATTTGTTCAAAAATTAGTTTATAAAAAATCGTTAAATAATATACTTCATATAACACATTTAAAAAAAAAATACGACTTAATGGATAACAATTTTAATAATTTTTACTCAAATACAACTTCAATGTTATGTACTTATGAAAATTAAAGTTTATCCCGGCAGAGGTATAGTTAATTATGTTAGAATATGCTTCTGTCTTTTACGAAAATGATTGTTATTAAATCTGAATTAAAAACAGCTAAATATTTAAAAAATTAAAAATATAAAATATTTATTTAACTATAGAAACCATTCATCTGTCATTTAATTAAAAAAATAATTAATCTGAAAATTTCGGATTAAAATTTAATCTTCAGAAACGCCAAGTCCTTCAGGCATTAAAGATTTAAAGCGTAAAATCTCATATTTTAAAAGAACTGTTTAAAATAGAAAACTTAGGAAAAAAATTTATATGACATTATGTCATCGCAAATTAACGTCGTGTGAAGACTTATTAAAAAGGTTTATTGAGGACATGCTTTTCAAAGCAATTAAATAATTATTAATATTGCGATTATAACGATGTTTTTATTCCATATACTTATTCAACAATTTCATTTCTAATAACAATACAAAAGACTGAAAGAAAATTCCTTGAAAATGATATTACACGCAGCATTTAAATTGAATCTTAGCAAATTTATACTTTAAAAAATTTAAGATAAATTAAAAATCTTCTGCTGTTTTTAATAAATAAGGAAGTGTCGATATTTTATTGCATGCTTATTAGGCTATATTATTACTTCCATACGTCGTGGTGGCATAACCGACTAAATTTTTTGTTCTATCTGGACACATTTTGTTCCATTCTTCTTCCAGAACACGCTTCATATGATCTCTGCCTGTTATTTTATGTTCCAGCACAGGGTTTTCGAGCATGGACCACAGAATTTCAATTACATTGAAATTCTAAAGCTTGGGAATTAGTATATAATAGCTGCTTTCAGAGGAAGAATAAATCTCATTTTTACATTATGCGCTATATTTGGGGGTCACCGTCTTTCTGAAATATGAAACCTGCAGCCAAGCCTAACTTAATAACACTTTCCTTCAGATTCTTTTAAAGTATATCTAAATGCATCATGTGGTTCGCAATACGATCAATGAAAACAAGCTTCCCAACTCTACTTGCGACCATACAATCCCAAACCATGTTTCACTGTTAACCTTAAGTTCCTTAGGACTGAGAGTAGTATTTGGCTTTCTCTAAAAATACGATGACCAAAATATTAAATGTGCTTTCATCGCTGAAATGATCTTCCAACAGTTTTATGTCTTAATTGGTGTGATTTAGGAAATTCTATACGCTTGCTTTGATTTCGCAAACTTTTGAACGGCTTCTTTCTCGCTACTCAACCGCTATAATCTCCTTTTCTGCTGACATTTCATACTGTTGGGCTTATATACGCCTGTCAATGGTTGCAGAGGTTTCTATAACAAGTTTAATGGCATTTGGACTCAGCTTGACCTTTCTTCTAGTACTTTTCTTTTTGCAACTAGGTTCAGAATTTTTCTTTTTTTTTTTTCCACTTTTATTTTTGAACAATCTTTCTTGTTAGCCCAAAAGGGAGGTTACTCCCGCACGAGATATTAGTCTCGAAACGGCATTTTGTGTTGAACCACTGTAAACTGTATCACTTTCCAAATTGTTGCCACCAAATAATATCGTCCTGCATTATATTTAAAGATATTAAATAATGAAGAATTTACATGAATGTATGCATGTTTCTCACACTGTGAAAATCCAACGGTACCTAGAACCTTTAAATCTTGAATAACGTAGTCCTCTATCCGAATATCGGCACTTGGAAGCCGGAATTTTGAATTTCGAATTAGTTTTATTATCCGTTTCATATTTTGTAAAACTGTAGCAAATTTTTGATTAAAAAACTCACCGATTTCAAAGAGAGCAGTGGCAACACTGTATGGGAAAAAACATTTGTATCTCCAGAGTGCGAGAATAACTATTGGAAATTCTTATGTTGTCTTTAAGTACACTCCGTCACAAAACATTATATGCACCCAGAAGGAAACGAACTACTATCACGAAACGTAAGATGCGTGTAGCGTATGAGAAGATAAACAAATGATTATAAATTCAGAACAAAAGATCGTTTTATTAAGAAGTTATGTCATGCAAAATTACAAATCAGTAAATAGTATAGCCACCTCTGGCAGCTATACAAGCCGAAACACGGCAAGGCATCGAATCAAGTAAGTCACTTTACCGTTACTTTTTCTCTCTCTCTCTTTTTTTTTTTTTTTTTTTTTGGTTGCAGTATTTTACATATTCATGGTGTTACGTTATGTTAAGGTACCACAGAAGTATCCATATGGCATCACAAATCGTCTACTTTGAGAACTGTTGGCATTCCCGAGATAGGTCCAATGATTAAACGGAATCGATTTTTCGATTCACCGGTTTCTTACTTGATAACTTCAGTTTCGGCTCATGAAAGTTTTGACTTTACTTAGTTAACTATGAAGTTCATTACGGTTACTTCCTAATTTGGAATCTAGTATGCATCATGGATTAGTAAGATCTTATCTCAGCCAGATAATATTTCCGCAAATGCAAATCAGCGGTTTTTTTTTTTTTTGTTGTTGTTGTTGAAAAATTTTTGAATAAAATTAGTAAATTTATAATCAAAATTTTAAATGCGGATTGATGGACTAGAATTAAGTCAGAGTTATGATAAGAATGAGTAACAAAAAAGTATGATTAACAAAATGCATAAATACAGAAACAAGGAAAGTAAACAGTACTAAATACGGTACATCTTAAGTAGAAGTCGCCAAATTTTCAAATGAGCCAAACTCTGGCAACCATGATCACAACTATCTCTACGCTTCAGTCAAGCAATGCCTCTCTTTTAATCGCTTAATCCAGTGCGTTATGAAATCCTGTGCAGCACATTCAGTTCTTTCCCAATTGATTTCATACTCAAACTATCGGAGTATATGTATCCATATATCCTAATGATCAATCTGATTTCACCATTCAAGACCTCCTACGAGTGACACATTTCATGTACCATTCCTACTCAAGTTCGGTAAGGAACGCTAATTGCTCTGGGAAATGCAGCTTAGGCAACAGAGCCCAGCCTGAGCTAAAAGCAGTAAATATGCTACCATATCATATAGACGTGTGATGGCTTAGCGTCGGAAAAGTTTTGAAGAGATTTAATAATGGTAAAATCCTAGTATACGGTGCAGCCTTGGCGCGATTTTGAAAATTATCGCCAACACCAAAAAATGACCCAAAGAACGTCTATATATTTACTATACACTATATACTATGTATAACTATATATATTCCTTGAATACCCGTTTCTACTTGTCGTATATGTTCCGTTTTTACTGCTTATCATAAAAGTCGCCAGAAGTAGCCAAATCCCGTGTGCACCGGATACTAGGATTAAACCTTAATAATTTGTTTAATGAAATAGTAATTTCCTTGTGGATTAAAGACAACATTAATGACTTTCCTGAATTTCTACATGGGGAATAGTTAAATGATTTTTCGCTACTATTCGGTTTCGAGGGCCGTTAAAAAATTGCAGCGAAAATGTACGTGCAAAAGCGCCAAATCTAGCAACCGCGCCCATTTAACAGCGCGCCAAATCTAGCGTAGGCGCTGATTTCAGATTGCGTAAGTTTGTATAGTTCTATATTTCGTAAGACGCCATTGAAATACTAGCTTAATTTTTAAATACGTTTTTGCTATCCTATGGATTTAAAAATTTGGGAATTGCCCATGACGAAAAGTCTGTAATAGAAAGTGCAGAATCACCCACTGCTTGACGCGATTTAAAGAATTGCACATACTCGG